GAGCCACGCTGTGGCAAAGACCGCACGTGTGGTTGGTCTGTGCCAGGCCAGTTAGGAAGGCTTAGAAGCAGTACAAGCAGCAGCCTGCTGGCCCAGGCTAACTGCTACTGGGGAAGACTCATCAAGTTCTTCCTCTCTTGTGCCGTGAGGGTAGTGGAAATAACAGGAACGTGCCTTCCTCGGTGTTAGCACGTGCTCACCAGAGCATGGCTTTGCTCCCCGGGGGAAGCGGGCAGGAGAAGGTGGGCTTGGCAGCACAGGTGCTTTCTGGAGGTCCTGGATGCTGGAGCGCGGCGCTCAGCACTGCCAGCCCCAGCCACACACCCGGGGAGGGGATACCTTGCGTCCTGAAGGTCTTGCCGCAGAGGTGGCACTGGAAGGGCTTCTCACCGGTGTGCGTGCGCAGGTGCATGTTGAGGTTGGCTTTCTGCGTGAAGGCATGGTGGCAGAACTCACAAACGTAGGGCCGCTCGTTCCTGTGGGCAGGGGCAACGTTACCTTCATCTCTGCCTTCGCCAGCTTCAGCCCCTCAGGTTCTCACCCAACATTCTTGTAATTAAATCCTACTTCAACTCATCTCAAACTAAAGTATTTTGGAGGCCCACAAATGCTATTCTGTAGCCTCCCACCCCTTGGGCGTTATAACCGGCCCAGGAAACAGAACGTGGAAAGCAGCCGTTGGCGCATGCTTGCCACTTCAAGAACACGAATTAGCCAGGCTGATGAGCTTCCATCATCACCTCGTACACTTGGAGGAAGTACCAAAAGCCTGCACTTCCTTTGGAAAAAAGAAAAGCAGAATGCTGGCTGGCCCCTCGCCAGAGCCAGAGCCAGCCCCTGCGGGAAGGCAGTGCTTGCCACCCTTGAGCCAATTCCTCTCCCCAGCACCAGCCAGCTGGGCCCTCGGCGGAGGAAGCGTGGCCAGGAGAGCCACGGTGATGTAGCGGAGGACATGGGTCACGTCATACCTGTGCTTGGCCTTGATGTGCATCTGCAGGCCGTTGCGACTCGAGGCCCTGTGCCCACACTCCTCGCAGACAAACAGCTTCTCTCCCCGGTGCTTGAAGGCCTCGTGCAGTCGCAGCTCTGTCCGAGACAGAAAGCACTTGGAGCAGGTTGAGCACTGCAAGGCCACAGGAGAGCGCAGGGTTAGGCAGCTTGCCTGGGCAGAGTTCATGGTGTACGCCCGCAACAGACCCGCTCACTGCCCGAGACCCATCCCTGCGCCTGCCGCTGCTGCTTTGGGGAACCCTGCAGCCGGCTGACGCAGACCCCC